ACTTTAGCAGTTGATAACTTAGATTATATTACCGCTTTCAACAAGAGGCAATCTGGATGTGTTTATATTGCTGTGTAAAAAAGGCGTAGCCTTTGCCTTCCTACTCCCCAATCCAAATTATAAAACACTGTGGGATTTCTGACAGGAATCCGATTCTCCGTTCCCAGTCCTCCTTTTCCCCGCCAACTTTCGCGTCGCAAATCCGATCTCCGACGAGAAGGTCGCTTCCTGACGTTCAGCTGGAATGTCATTGAAAGATGACTCTGCTTTTTATTTTATTTTTTTGTTTTATAATTTGGATTACGGAGGTGGGAGTGGGGAGGCCAATAAACGAATCATAGAGGCATCTTGATATAAAAATGAACGAATCGTCCATTTCCAGCACTAAATGGGAATGTATGCGGCTTAATGGACCGAAACATTCCAATGCAGTTTTTACTTCCTTTTAATTATTACTTTTAGTTAAAATCTTTCTCATAAATTCACAAAATATTCAAATTTCACTTCTTTGTAGACTTTGGAGGAGATGACTTGGGCAGATTTGTGGAATCATGATCTGGAGCATTTCCTCACCGAACTCGATAAACAGGTACGGTTCCAGTTCTTGTTGAACGCTAAATTCTGAGCGGCACAGTAATTCTTAGTGATGTTTTTCACTATATTCCCTTACAGAGCCTAAATTTCGAAGCTTATTTCTCTGATTTATGATTTTTTTGGTGCAGCTTCTGGGCATGCGCAGCAGGCGAAAAGCTCAACTGTTTTATGGCAAATTGTGATTTCTTCGTCAGAAGCCGTGATCCTGATGTGTGATTTCTTCAGATTTTTACGACTTCATAAGAAGTTTTTGACCTATACACATTATGCACTTTTGTCGTTTACGATTCTGTGCTTTTCATTACAAAACGTCATCTGGCACAACACAGGCATTCCCATTTTGGGGTGATTGCTTTTTGATTGAACTTCTATGGCCCTTTCCACCTTTCCTATTCCTCTTACTGGAATACTAGTCATTTAGAGTACAAGAGAAGTATCCCTTCGGGTCTTGTGAGGAATAAATGTGATGATGATATTGATTACAGGAAGCGAAAGAGAGAGCTGATCTCGACGTACAGATCAAAACTGCAGCAAAA